ACTGCTTGAAACCACTGCTAAATCCAAGAAGGTCCTCCTCACTTCCTAGAATGAGAGCACAGAATCCATTGCATCCCAGGCTCTGGCTCTTGGCACTGTGCTCTGTCTGCTTTACTAAGGGACAAGAAATAAGCCCTTCCCACAAGGACAACCTCCTTCCTTTCATTAGGTTAACACACGCATGCAGTCATTTTTCTCCAGGTTGAGCCCACTACAACCAGCAGTTCTTAGCTTTGCACTCGAACCTCTAGGGGGAGCCACACACACTGTCCCTCTACTCATTGGCCCCTCTTTAACCCCAACCTCCTGTATTCTCATGCCCAAGGAGAAATGCTGATGGGGGTCAAAGGTCAGATGAAGGGGGTGGTTGGTGGGCAAATAAAATCCTCATGGCACTAAACGGTGGGTTTTGGGAGCCCCAACCTTGTTTGTATTTCAAGTGCCTCCCTCCCAACCCCAGCAATACAATGTGTCAGTAGCTTCCCATTCAGAATCTCATTTAGTCCTCCTAATGCAGGCAGTTGCCTTCAACCAGGGACAATTTGTCACCCAGGCGATGTTTGGCAATGTCTGGAGACATTTTTTGGTTGTTATAACTGGGCAGGGATTTATGCTGTCATCTGGTGGGCAGAGGACAAGGATGCTGCTAAAAACCCTGCAGTGAACAGGACAGCCCCACCACAAAGAATCACCCACCTCCACATGTCTTAGAGCTGGGGCTGAGATACACTGAGTTATCCTGACTTCTGTTCCTTTATTTCATAGAAAAGAAGCAGGCTGACCACAAGTCATTCAGGGACTGAACCCAGAAATACGTAATTCCACAAACCATATAGCCACTGTGCTGTCACTTCTCAATTGAAACACCACAGTTGGCATCACACAGCTACAAAGTACAACCAAATGCCTCTAGCTGGCCTCAAGGTCCTTTTTAGACTGTCCTCTGATCTTCCTTCTGGCAGCTGGTTGAGATAAAATGTTTGCTGGATCAGCCTTAGTTTTCCCTCCCCTATCTGTGCTCAACATTCTCTCCAGCAGGTCCTATATAATCCATCTTGAATGTCTCCTCCCTTTGAAATTCTCCTCTGTTCCTTTGAACCATGTCAGCAATACTTTATCTGCATCTGCCTTCTTGTGGAATCACCATGTGCATTGTTACTCAACACTAAGACTGCCTCCTGTGTGGCAGATACTGTCTGTGGTCTGGCCACGTTTTCACACTTAATCCTGCAGATGGCCTCATAATCTTCCTTTTATGAATGAGGAAGCCAAGGCTCAGATGAGTTAACTAGGTTAACTGTAATTAGGTGGCCCTAATTACAGCACCAAGAAACACAGATGTGGGTAGGAGACCATCTCTACCCACAAAGCCCATGGGCCTCACCCTCTATGATCAGCAACCAGGCATGACCTGGCTCTGCTCTCAGTATCTGCCTGTAGCATTTACAGGGTGCTAAGTTGGAAAGAACAGAGGTAGGTTCACTCAGAGTAGGAGTCCTGGGGCAAGGAAAGAAGTGACATTGACAGAGTGCTGGCCACAGAGCTGAGTAATTTACACCACCAGAAACCTCAAAGCAACCTTGTTGGGTAGATATTATTATTAATTTCTGTTGCTGTTGCTAACAGAATGGGAGTCCGAGCACTCAATTTGTTTAAATACCTTGCTTAAGATCACAGATAGAGCATCTGGTTGAGCTAGGGTTTGAACCTATGAGATTACTCAAGATTCTCTCCCTCAGTTATGAGAAAGTAGTTTTCAGTTGAGTAAGAAGAGAACATTTCTAGTCATCAGAGCTGTCCAGAAATGAAACAGCTCTGTTCTGGAAGTAAGGAGCTCCCTGAATCCTGAGAGAAATCCACGAATAGGTGGCAGTCGCTGTCTGAGGTGCTGTGAGGGAGACTTTTAGGCTGGATGGGACAGGGGCTTGGGTGTGGGTGTGGTCAGTGGATGGGAAACCCCCTTATGTCTCTTCCCATAGTTCTGGTCAGAGGGCCTAGGGTACTCAGGGGGACTGTGCTGTAAAAAAGAATACTGATGGATATCATTTGTTTGGGCCTTTTTCTTTCAGTAAGAAGGCCTGTGGGGATAAGAACTGAGATCCTAGCTTGGGCTCAGATCCTGTTTTGGAGCCTTTGTAAAAGTCTCTTGGACTTGGAGCTATAAGCTCCATCCAGGCTCATAGGATTCTCTGCATTGAGGTGTCAAATCAATGAGACTCTGTCCCTCTACTCTCCCTGTACTGTGCTTGCTCCCATGGAGCGAGAAGGCTGTTCCCTAAGTTAGCACTAGAGTATTCCCAGATCCCTGGCCCACAAACCATAGTAATACTCCCTAGTTCCCACCCACCCTATCTAATGCTTTCCAACTCCAAGATCCTGGAGCACATAGTGGGAAATTCCCATGATGACTTTCTTCTGTCTTTTGGAGGTAAGGTATTCCCTGGAGCTTGTCAGGGATGTCATCACTGATAGGACTGAGGGAATGCAAGGAGGAAGGATAAAATGTGAGTTTATATTATTCATGGATAAAGATGAGTGTTTTTCAGTAGAGCTTTTTGAGTAAGTCAATTATTTCCAGAATGAAACACAGGGAATAAGCTATTTACATTAGTCTGTTGTCCTTTGGGTCAAAGATTACGTTAGGCCAAATATTTGGAAGAAAGATTTATACTAACAGGAATTGTACTGTGCCAAAGACCTGATCCCACAGTTGTCTTTCCCTCTTCTGTTCTAAGCGGCACCTAGATCTCTGAGCAGAAAACTCCAAAGCATTAAAAATGAGATAGTTCATTTCCGAAGCAGCAGGAACTACTCCATCCTTGGGGCTTTTTGCCAAGCGATCATCTTTGACTGTTCTGACCTGAGGAATGACTGCCAAAACCCTTTCTGCTGGTGGGCATCCAGTCATGCTTGGGGCACCTGCTCACCAGGGTCATTTGTATGATTGATGATGTAAGATTAACAGCCTGTGGCAGATGCCTTGTGCTCTGGTTCATATGATATCATGAACCCTCACATTCCTCCTCCAAGCATATATATCAAAGAAATCAGCAGACAGCAACAGACTAGGAACAAGTAAACCTGGGGACATTAGTTATTTTCACTCAGTGGCTGAGAAAATGAACAAGTTCATCTTTTCTTTGAATCCTGAAAACACCACGTGCAATAATTATGTTTTTGAGGAATTCAGGGGAAATCGCTTGAACTAGAGGGTGATAAAAAACATATATTTGCACTTAAAATGTTCACAGTTTACAAACCGTGTCCTCATTCATCCACTGAGCAAACACTCACTGGACACTCATTATCACCACGCAGGAAGGAGGCTCACGATGAGTAAGACACTGCCCTGCCCTCTTGGAGGGCACCTTCTACTCGTATAAATATGCATGTATGCAAATGGTTGAATGCCAATGTTGAAATTGCAACCAGTGAGCAGTACTCACTCCCTGCTCCCTACAGGCCTGTGCTGGGTGCTGGAACCATGAAGATGAGTGAGATGCAAACTAGGAGTACATTAGTCCTATAACTCCAACTCCACCCAATGGACTGAAAGGCCACTGTTACCCCTGTCATACAAATGCAGAGACTATGTTCTTGAGAGGTGAACTGACACCATTTTCAAATGATCCCTGTGCAAGAACTTGCCTTAAAAATTCATTTTGTATACTGTAATGATGTATAGCATATTAATGTTAAAAAATAAAAACAAAAAAAACAACAACAAAAAAACTCAAAACAAACAAACAAACAAACAAAAACTCATGCTGGGCGTGTGTGCGTGCGTGCCCAAGATCCCGAGAGGAGAATGGAAGAGAAGGGATTGCGGCGTGACCATCCCCCCTGGGGGGTGATTTCTTGCTTTCTGTCTCTATGTCTCTCTCTGTCTGTCTGGCAAGCCCATGCGCCCTATAGCGAAAAAAACCCAAAAACCTCTCCAAAAAAAAAAAAAAATATGATCACTACCCCAAAGATTAGTTTCATATCCTATTGCAGACAAACATTACATCCTAAAACCTCTGGTCTAATTTTTCTGTTGTTCACCTTATAGTTTTTACTTTTATTATTTATTGTTTTTAAATTTTATGTAAAGATATTTGCCTACCCTGAGGTAACAAAAGTTATTTCTTATGTTTCCTCGAAGCTTCATAGATTCTGATATTACTCGTGTCTATTGCTCTGTTAATTGAAATAACCATATATTTTTTTACACTTGTTATGTGAATTTGTTGTAATGCAGTAATTGATTTTTAGGTAGTATATGTACTTTGTATTACTAGTAAAAACCACACTTGGCCACAGTGTATGGATAGATATAGAGAAATGGATTTAATTTTATTGAAGATTATGTGTGTGTTTTCCTAAGAGACATTGGTTCCTAAGAGACAATAGCTTTGTTTTCCTTTGGTATTATTATTATGGTTTTTTATTTATTTATTTATTTAATTTTTTTTATAAAATCAGCTGTGCTATGTTTCTGGAAAAAAAAATTTGTTTTATCATACTTCATGCTCAAATAAAAACATGAATTATTAATCCAATTAGCTCCATTAGCCATCTCCTGTTATTAGCCTTAAATGAAATAAAGCAAAAATACATATTCAATGTCCCATTTTTATAAGACCCTGAGCTATGTGTTTAGGGAAACTACGAAGCAAAACAAAACAAAAAAGGAGAAGAGAGTTTGGTTTGTTTCTTTAAAGAGTTTCCAGTTGAGCTGGGAAATCCTGTCGTGGGTCTGAAAACAACAGTGCTTGAAACCATGAGGTCCAGGTGCTTTGGTGTTTGACCTGCCACTGATTAGCCGAGGACCTTGCGTAAGATCTCCTCACTCCCATTTCCCATGGACACTCATTGCTAATGGCCAGTCCAGGCAATCAGAACTGACCCCTGGAGGCCCTGACTCCTTCTCACACCCTGCACTGTCCTAGTCATACACCTGCTGATTTGAGGCCCCTACTCTGGAGCCCCTTATGCCCATCACACAGTGAACGTCTTACCCAGCCCCGCAGTAGCTCATAGGCAGTGACACCCAGGGACCACCAGTCGACAGGGTACGAGTACCCGGGACCTCCATCCACGTACACCTGGAACACTTCTGGAGCTGCCAAAGAACACAAAAAGATCATCATTGCATGTCACAGTTTATGGTCACCACTACTCAGCGAGGGGACATAGGAGTATGAACCCAGCTCTTTTAGACAGTGAAACCAGCACTCCTTCCACCATGCCATGTTGCTCCTGCCCTCAGTAAGCTGCCAGCTGCCTTCACTGTAAACACCCATGTGACATTCCAGGACAAAATCCGCATGGGGCATCAAAAGTGTGCAGTGGAAGGGTGGCCTGCTCGGTGAGAGTCAGGGGAGACTCCTGGAGGAGGAGGATTTGAGAGAGCATGCATGAGTCATAAATGGCCCTGAGAATGAAACAGGTAAAAACCTAGAGGGAAGAGGAAGAAGCTGAGCCCTCAGGAGGTGGAGGAGCTTGATAAATGTCACCATGCCCTTGGCACCAACGCCTGGGCTAGGTGTCCCACAGCCAGGATGCTCAGAGCTCTTTGTACCTGGTGCCTATCTCAGGAACAATCTTATTTTGTATGGTTGTTTACAACAAATTACAGATGGGATCTAAGATAAAATACTCAGAACAGATAAATCCACAGAGACGGAAAGCAAAGTGGAGTCTGTTGGGGTTTGGAGGTAGAGAGGACGGTGGTTTCCTTTGGATGTGATGGAAATGTTTTGGAACTAGACATGGATAGAGGTTGTACGAACATGGTACATGTTCAAATGGTTGATTTTATGTCATAGGAATTTTACCTCAACAGGAAAAGAAAAGTGAAGGACCAAGGCCTAAGTGTGGTGGACCCTCATCCTTCATTTGTTCTGGGGGTTCCTGGCCCTGCCCACTAAAGGGCTGAGTGGTGGGTTCATCTCTTCGCCTACCCCTGCCCCCACCTCACTGGTCCAGGACTGCATTGTAGGGTCTAATTACTCTATTTTGCTTCCAGGAAAATTTTGTGAAATGCTGATTATTTCTAGCAAACTATGCAGACATAGTTCCATTTTATAGTTGTCAGAGCAGCCAAAATCTGTCCCAGGGAGCCACAACATGTTGTGTTGAAAGCTGTCTCCACTCAGTTTCCAGATTGGCATTTAGTCAGTGTGGGAAGGAGGGTTGGATTGAGGCAGGCAAGGGGGTCAGACACACTTGAATTGGGACTACTGGTTTGGTGGCTTGTTTCTTTAATCTGCTCGGGGACCAAACTGCAGTGACTTTCTAGCTATACTCTCCATTTGCTTTGTATTTAAAAAAAAAAAAGTTCATTAACTTATTCACTTTTTTTTTTTTTTTTTTTTTTTTGAGAGGTTTTTCGCTATAGGGTGCGTGTGCTTGCCAGGCAAATAGAGAGAGACATAGAGACAGAAGACGAGAAATCACCCTCCAGGGGGGATGACCATGCTGCAATCCCTTCTCCTCCATTCTCCTCTTGGGATCTAGGGCATGCATGCACACATGCCCGGCGTGAGTTTTAAGCCACTGGGTCCAGGACGTGAACTGTGGTCAACTATGTGGGAGTCCAGCGACATAGCCATTATGCCAACTGCTGGTCCCATTCATTAACTTATTTCTTTTGAGAGAGAATGAGACAGACAGCCCCAGTGGGGTCTTTATGCAGTGATCCACACCCAGTGTCAGCCAGCCCCAGTCACTGGTATGCATGTGTACCTTATATACTCAGAGAGACCCCAGGACATGAACTCAGAGCCTTCACCTGTGGGTCTAGTTGCATTACCACTGCCCCACTGCCTGATCCTGACTGTATTTTATAAAGCCCTGTCACCCACAAGCTTTCCTTTCCTCCTTGCAATAGCCTGTGGGGCATGTTATCATTTAACACATTTTACAGATGAAGCTCAGAGAGGGCCAGATGTGTGAAGAAAGTCATGCAGCCAGGAGGTGTAATGCCAAGATGTGTCTCACA